AAAGTCAGCAAAATCCAAACCGGGAGACTCCATCACACAAACAACCTACTTTATTCAAACACAAAGAGGGGGAAAAGGGGGAAGTATAGATTTTTTTTTTTTTAAGATTTTATTTATTTATTTGACAGACAGAGATCACAAGTAGGCAGAGAGGCAGGCAGAGAAGAGGGGGAAGCAGGCTCCCCGCAGAGCAGAGAGCCCGATGCGGGGCTGGATCCCAGGACCTTGGGAATCATGACCTGAACCAAAGTCAGAGGCTTTAACCCACGGAGCCACCCAGGCACCCCAAGAGGGAAGTATAGATTTTTTAAAGACACTTAGAATCCCTATCAACCAACTTCAACATATAGCTCTTAGCTGGACTCACATTCAAACTGTACAAAACAAATGAGAGGATGGGATACATTTGATGATAGTGAGAAATCACTGTTAATTTTTTAGGTATGATAATTATCCTTACATTAGAAAAATAAGAGCCCTTTTTAACAGACAGATACTGAAATACATACAAATAACATATGCTATCCTATTTGGGATTTGCTTCTTAAGACATCAGGTAGGGAGAGTTGGTGAATATAATTAAGATTGGCCATGAGGGAAAAAAAAAAAAGACTGGCCATGAGATGATAGGTTTTGAAGCTGGATATAAGGTGCATTATATCCTTCCCTCCCCTGCTAAATATGTTTGAAAGTGTCCATAATTAAAATTCAAAGTGAACAATTTTAAAAGATATTCTCGATACTGTGTTTCTTCCCCCAAATCTGGTCATTGTGACCTGGGAATACATTCAATGCTGTTTAGCAAGTCAATGATGAACCTAAGCTGGACATACTGCTTTAGCCACCGGAGGGATATAAAAGAAATTAAGTGTTCCAGCCCTTGTAAAAAATCTTTTTCAATTGAAGATTAACAACCAAGGAACAATGAAACATACAATTAATAGAACAAACCAATATAAAGGGAAATGCCATATGGAATATTACTATCCAAACACAAGGTATGATGACAAAGTGCTATGGTGGGTGAGAATCAATCAATTTAAACTTGAATGAAATTAACATTTCACACCCAGTATAATAGCTAAAATAAAAATGATGGACATCACTACAAGTTAACTAGGGTACAGAGCAGCTGGAATGCTTATTCATTGCAAGTGGGAATGTAAAATGGCACAACCCCTTACAGAACTGTTTGGCAATTTCTTTTAAACTTACATATATTTACCACATGACCCAGTAATTCCACTAATAGGTATTTATTGAAAGGAAATGAAAACCTATGTCTACAAAAAGACTTGTATAGGGCGCCTGGGTGCCTCAGTTGGTTAAGTGTCTGCCTCTGGCTCAGGTCATGATCTCAAGGTCCCGGGATCAAGCCCACTCTGGGCTCCCTGCTCAGCGGGGAGCCTGCTTCTCTCTCTACCTCTGCCACTCTCTCTGCTCATTCTCTCTCTCAAATAAATAAAATCTAAAAAAAAAAAAAAAAGATCTCTATAACAGTGTTCATAGAAGCCTTTTTCAAAATAGCCAGAAACTGGTAACAACCCAAACGTCCATCAATAGAAGAGTGAATCAACAAATTGTGATATAGTCATCCAATGTAATCATACACAGTAATAAGGAACTACACAGACGACAATAAACACAATGCTGTGTGAAAGAAACCAGACACAAAATTATATATTCTGTAACTCCATTTATATGAAATTTGAAAACAAGCAAAACTAACTTAGGGAATTTTCATAGGATGGGGATGAAAATGTTCTAGATCTTGATGCTGGATGTGGGGTCAGGGAGTACTATGATGAAAAAGAAATTTAAAGAACACGATGTACGCTATGATTTTTTGTATGCCATGTCTCAAGCTTAGACACTTCAAGCATAGACTCTAAATGTTAGGAATGGTAGGAAATGGTAGGAAAACCTGGTTGGAGGTATTATAGAGAAATAAAGATATCAGTGAATGAGACCCTACACCAGAAAAAGGGTAATGGGAATGGAAAGAAAATCAAGCAAAGAAGAAGTTATCAAAGGAAAAATCAGGTTCAAAAGTGAACAATGACTCTAAAGAACTGGGTTCCAGATACCAGGTAGATGGATGGGATCGGTATATGAGATGAATACTGGGAAGATGGCCTAACGCAGAAAATGATGTATTTAATCTTAGAAAGACAGAGATAAGGCATCATAAGAAGATTTAAACCAGGAGAGATTTTGTTGTACAGTACTACAGAAAGAGATATGGAAAAAGTCAGCTACATGGAGATTACAGCTGAAGAATTCACAAACAGACCCTGATAATAAAACCTATCATTTGTATAGTAACGGAAGAGCTAACTAATTGCTTTCCCACGTAGTTAGCATGATAAAACAATGCAGCCTACAGAAGAGGGAAAGATGAAGGACATAGAAACCTGTATGCAGAAGCACAAAAGAAACGGTTTCAGTAAAGGAGACTGACAAATTTAGAGAAATACCGAGCGAAAATGGATTCAAAGAGACAAAATCTAGAACCTTGCTAGTCAGTGTAGTCCCCAGACAAGCAGCATAAACATCACCTAGGAGCATGTTAGAAATTCAGAATCTCAGGTCTTATCCCAGACTCACAGAATTAGAATCTGCATAACAAGATCCCCAGGTGATTCTTAGCACTTTCAAATTGAGAAGCCCAACCACAACACAGTATTTTTAAATTTATTTTTATTTTTATTTTTTTTTAAGATTTTATTTATTTATTTGACAGAGAGAGACAATGAGAGAGGGAACACGAGCAAGGGGAGTGGGAGAGGGAGAAGCAGGCTTCCTGCCGACCAGGGAGCCTGATGCGGGGCTCAATCCAAGCACCTTGGGATTACCACCCAAGCGGAAGGCAGTCACTTAACGACTGAGCCACCCAGGCACCCCAACACAGTTATTTTTTTAAACTGCAGGTCTCAACCCATCAGTGGGTTATGAAATCGACTTAGAACAGAACTAGAAATACCAGAGCATATCACACATGGTAAGTTTTCATTTTTATGGGACACGAGGTAAAATTTTTTTAGTGTAGGGTGAGGGGTTTTTTTGTTGTTGTTTGTTTTTTTAAGTTCACAAAACCCAGCACACCTGGATAGCTCAGTCAGTTAAGCATCTGCCTTTGGGTTACGCCATGATGTCAGGGTCCCGGGATGGAGCCCCAAGTCTGTCACCCTGCTCCACAAGAAGCCTGCTGCTCCCTCTGCCCCTACCCCTGCTTGTGCTTGTGCTCTCTCTCTCAAGTAAAATCTTTTTTTAAAACGGTAAGTTTACAAAATCCTGAACACAAGTACAGTAAAAACTTTTTTTTTACTAAGAGGATGTGAGAATCCATATCCAAAAGCATTCCAGAGTTTCTCATCTTGGTGTGAATCTACACCAAGATTCACACCAAGAAATACATATGTACTAATAACACAGACATGTGTTTAATACATATAAAGTGAAAACAAAAATTTCGTGAAACAATACCCTGATATTTCTATTTTCTTTCTTTTGATGTTGCTTGTGACCCACTCAATTGATTTTACATTAGTGACTCTTTTAGTCACTACTCAAAAGTTTGAAGACCCATGATTTTTAACACGCTCTTTGGCCTCAAATCTCAGCTAGGAAGTGGTTTGGAAAGACTGAAGAGGTTAAGAATGGCTGTTAAGCACGGTAAACACACTGATGAAATAACAGCAGACTTACTCAGCAGTAAAAAGGCCAAACGGATGTTGCACTGCGTCAATTTTTAGTCTCTGTCTCCCTGTCCGAAGGTAGGAAAGAAGCAACAGCAGATAGGACTAATGAGGGTTGGGAACTGGTGAAGAACCACGGGAGATGGAGATGAAGGAAACGCTGCTAGTACCAAGAACCCGGGCACGGATAACTAACCTGCCTCAGCCAAGGAAGTGAGGCTGGTCCAGGAGGCCCGGCTCAGAAAGGCAGGCGCTGACTGAACACACTCCCAGCTTTGGTTCCTGAAGGCCGGCTGAGATACCACACATTGGCGACAACCAGCAAAGGCTTACAATATAGCTCCTGAGAGGCCCCCGGTTCCCCAGGCTAACGTTTTTGTGCTGTGCTTGCTTGGAAGCAGCTGCATTAGGGGCTGGGAGAAGCAGGTAAGGAGGGTAATGCAGAATGGAGATTACAGCTTATTCCAAGAATCCGAGAAAGGGAGCCAAGCTGCTGCTTGGCCTTCTCTATGACCGCGGGGGTTCGAGTACACCTAGACCCCGGACAAAGGCGACCTCCTTCTGGGTCATGGCACAGTCCTGGCAGAGAGAGCAAGACCCGCAGAAACCCCGGGGTCGTCAGGCCGGGCCAGTCCCCAGCCCTCAATGCCCCCTTGGGCGCGGGGGGGGGGGGGCTACTTCCCATCACCCCTCGCGCGGAGCCCTGAGGCTGTCAGCACCCTCCAGGCTCGGGAAAGGCGTGGTTTTCCTTCCCCGCTTCTCCCGCAAGGCACAGCGGCCAGCCCAGTACCACAGCGTCTTGGCAAGGCTGGAGGTGCTCCCACCTTCACTTTAATTAGCATCTTCTTCCCAGTTTGGAGCTGCACACAGATACTTTGCTGCTTCTACCGCTGCGGTCGCCGCTGCCGCTCCCCAGCAATCTGCTTGCGGGAGTCACTTCTGCTTCCGGGTCACTGCCTGGCTCCTCCCCTTTCCACCGGGTTCTCGAAAGGCTCAGGAATGCTCCCGCGTTTCGTTTTGGTGGCGTCGTAAATAAAAAGAAGGCGGAGGTTTAGTTACAGCAGAGATGACGCCTCCGCGATTCTTAGAGTTTCTGGTAAGTCGGGGCTTGCGAAGCGGGGTCGGAACGAACTACTTCTCCCATCATGCCAGGGGAGAGCCCCGCGCGTTCCACCCTGGGAGTCGTAGGCTTCCGCCCCTCGGATCCAACGGCAATCTCTGTGTGTGAACCCTGTTACCCAGAAGGCCTCGCAAGACCGCGGCGGAAACTGGGATTTCCCTGTTTCTCCTTCCCCCCCCCCCCGCCCCCGCAATTGGTGGAACCTGTTGGTGTGGCCCACAAGGCTCAGCGGGGCTGCACGAGGCTAGTTGCTAAGCAAGGGGTACTGTGGTCAACTGCCAACTGAGCCACGGCGACAGGAAGTGAGTACCCCTATTCCGGAAACTAGTTGTGGGAATATCCCCCATTCCTGCTCACCCCCAAATCGGCCTCTTACCCCAAGTGGCCCTTTGCAAGGATGGGAGAAGGAAGAGCAGTGGGGTAAGGAATGCAAATTTTGGGGGTCCTTCACGACTCCATCGCAGTTCTTCTCCCCATTAAATAGTACCTGGGATGGAGATACGTAGAGTAATTGCAACCATGGGACGGATCAGAGGTGACAGTCTTCAGGGACCATGCCTCAGCCAATGCCCGACCTTCCATAATTTAAGCAAGGAGAGAGAGGGGCACAGCCGTTAGATCTAACAGGGCATTTAGGCCCACGGGGAGATTGGTTCGTATCTCTCCACCTGACTTTTCCTACCTCCAGTTCTCGGATTTGTTGCTACCCCAGGGTCCCCGCCATGCCTCACATCGACAGTGACATCAAACTGGACTTCAAAGATGTTTTGTTGAGGCCCAAGCGCAGTACCCTTAAGTCTCGAAGTGAGGTGAGCCTGCTTTCCTAGCTCCTGGTGGGCCAGGACCGAGACAGATTTCTGGTTCTTGTCCTCATACAATACTCTTTTATTTGATGAATGAAATGCATTTTCCTGTTCATATCTCAGGTAGATCTCACAAGATCCTTTTCATTTCGGAACTCAAAGCAGATGTACACTGGGATCCCCATCATTGCTGCCAATATGGATACTGTGGGCACCTTTGAGATGGCCAAGGTTCTCTGTAAGGTAGGACTTCCCTTATGCAGGTTTTCCTACCGGTGACCAGTTGTGTGAGCTGACTGCAGACATAATTTGCAAACTAACCACCGCCCCCGCCCCCACCGTCAGCTGTGTGGCAGGTAACAGTCAGGATGTTCCAATTTACTATTTAATCCATTTTCTCCAATACTAATGCCCTTATCTGATAAGTTCAAAGGCACATCTGAATTAGTAAGATTCAAAGCTAAGTTTTACCCCATTTTTCTGATATATAAACATAACTTCCTTTTCTCCCATCCAGCAGTTTATACACCCTGCCAACTCTTCCACCTCCCAGGTCATCCCTTCCAAATCACATTCATCCCTCCCATTATGCCATTGGTCAGGACACTGAATACCTACTATTTTAGTCCAGAAACTAAATATAGCGTGAGCATTCAAAAATTCCTAGCTAGAAGATCCTGGAAAAGTAGCTTATTGATTTTCTTTCATGTCTGCTACCCTTTTTTATTTTTTTAATCTTCCTCTTCTTTAAGTCCTAGGTTTCTGGGAATTTCCTGGATGTGCCCAAAATGGAATGTTTTTCTTATGCACAGGTTATTGTTCACTTTGAAAACAGAAGATGCTGCTCCCATCCATAATATTACCTTCCTCTGTACTTGTAGCTGAGAAGGTAGATAGTTAATCTGGGCACTCAAAAAACATACACATTCTTCTGATTAATCCATGTAGCCCTGGTTGATGGATTCTGCTGCTGCTTGTGGCTCTGTTAGCCTTAAGGACTTAATCTCCCTTTCTCTATTTTCAGTTGCTGTAAGTCTCTGTGGAATGTCTTTTGTCATTTCTCTGAGTTTGATAGTTATACAGTTTTAGTACTTTATTGCTGTTGCCATTTACCAACTGCTTAGGAATCTTCTTCTTGTCCATGGTCCACCTGCTCTGCCCAGCAGAGTTGAGGAATAGTGAATCTGACTTCAGCATTAACAAACGCGCTGAAATATGTGGCCCTTGTGGAGACTGTCTTAATACTTTGTGTTGAGATAGGCTTTTCAGTACTACTGATGGGTGCTGAAGAAATCAGATTCTAGAGATAGGGCCAAGTTTCACAGTAATAATAAGGTTGGATACACTCATCTTTTTCTAGATCTCTAGCATGGTATGTAATTGGATGTGCCTATCATGTCCCACTATACCAGTACATCTCCAAGGTCTACTGACCTCATGGAATGATTTTTCTTTGTGTATCAACTGATGGCAGAGTGTTGTTGAGGAAGCAGAACTCAATACCAGCTTTAGCTAGATGGTGTTGATGAGTGAGTATAGCAATACCACTTCCTTACTGCTGATACAGGACTTCCTTGGATTTCTTGTCACTTGCAATATTTGTGCTATCTCTGTCAACTGTTCTTTTGTCTATTTGCATGTCTGCACCTTTAAAGCCCAAGCACTGGGGCACCTGGCTGGCTCGATCAGTGGAGCATGTGACTCTTGATCTCAGGGTTGTGAGTTCAAGCCTCACACTGGGGGTAGAGATTACTTAAAATCTTATGAATGAATGAATGAATGCGGCACAGGCACCAGCATTTACAGTGGCCTCTGAATGCCTTTCTCAAAGTATTGGGATATTGTTTTGCAACTTGTTGACCCTAGGGAATACAAGTCTGATGAGTTCACTGTATCCTTGAACTTGGTTGGCTGAAATAGATGGAATGAAATGGACTTTTTAGGGGCGCCCCGGTGGCTCAGTGGGTTAAAGCCTCTGCCTTCGGCTCAGGTCATGATCCCAGAGTCCTGGGATCGAGCCCCGCATCAGGCTCTCTGCTCAGCAGGGAGCCTGCTTCCTCCTCTCTCTCTACCTGCCTCTCTGCCTACTTGTGATCTCTGTCAAATAAATAAAATCTTAAAAAAAAAAAAAATGGACTTTTTAGGTTGGTCTGTGTCTCCAAAAAATGTGTCCTTTATTCCAGTGGAGATGGAGAAAGAATGGGGTAGCACCTTATTAGCTCCACTGAGGCCTTCCTTACCTTTTGTGAGCATTTAGACTCACTGAATTATTGCTCCTAAGTAGACCAGAAGATACCCCAAAATAGGTGAGTTCAGTACTAGTTTACCATTGGGGGAGGGGCCGAGTCAGTGCAGGCAGACACTGGCTCCGTACAACCTCGTCATGGCTCTTTGTTGTCTGCTGCTTGTCCTACTGCACCAACAGCTTGTCTTTGTCACCTTTTAAGTCAGAAGCCCTTACGTGCTGGTAAGTGAAATCCACTCCAGGTGACTTTGTACCTGACCTGTTGGAGCATTGGGCAAGCACTGGCTTATGGTAAAGCCCTCCTGGTACTTGTAGGGAGAAAAATGGTTAAACTAAAATCCCAGCTCAACCTGTGATTTCTTTCAAGTTGCTTTCCAAAGCTTCGTCCTTTTTCTCCCTCAGAATACTAAAAAGATCTGTTTCTAGCAAAAGAGACACTAGTACAGTTCTCTCCTTTTTGATGGCTTTTTCTTCTCCCCAGTTCTCCCTCTTCACAGCTATCCATAAACATTACAGCCTCCAGCAGTGGAAAGAGTTTGCTAGCCAGAATCCCGAGTGTCTTGAGGTAATGCTGGTCCTCCCCTGATCCCTTCCTTATCCCAGTTTTCCATGCATCTCTTCTGGCTTCCTGGGGACCAACCCTCCCCTTCCCAGGCCCAGTGGCTGCTCACTGGGTCACTTGTGACATGCCACTGGCCCTGTCTCTCTCAAGCATCTGGCAGCAAGCTCAGGCACAGGCTCTTCGGACTTTGAACAGCTGGAACAGATCCTGGAAGCTATTCCCCAGGTGAAATATATATGCCTGGACGTGGCAAACGGCTACTCAGAACACTTTGTTGAGTTTGTAAAGGACGTGCGGAAGCGCTTCCCTGAGCACACCATTATGGTACGTTTCTAGTGCCTGTGGCTGGTATGTTCCTCTTCCTTCCACTCTCTCCTGACACTCCACTTTGTTATGTCAATTCTTTTCTCCTCTGCTGCATTATGATTTTCCTAACCTGTTGACTCATATCACTGGGCAATAATCCACGGTTCCAGGCTTAAGAAGTTTAGATTGGCTAGTGCAGTTAGCTCTGTCCCTTGACCCAGGCCTTGTGCATACCTACGGTACATATTCATCTGCCCACTGAGGTGCACTAGAATCACATTAAAGCGGTCGCATGAAAGCGTTTTATTTGTTTACAAGCTTAGAGGAGTGATGACAAGGCCGCTTTTTCTCTGCAGCATCAAGGGGTCTCTCTGTACTGCCCATCGGAAGTAAATACAGCTGTGCAGGTGGCCATTTAGCTTATAGTACCGCATCTCCCCCTTTCTCTGAAGCCAGAAATTGTATGATGTAACGGCTTAAGGACAGGATATGCTGGGGTCTCTTGGCAAGGATGGGAAGATACATCAGCTCTGGCCTTGGTCCAGTTGGGCCCCAGCTTTATCCTAGTGCAACAGTGATACTGGCCACTCACCCCCTTACCTCATCTTGGGAAGCAGAGTCCTTGCCCAGTAGAGGAAACCTAGGTACCCTTCTTTGTATTAACACTGTAAGGTCACAGTCCAGGCATGCTGTGTGTGAGAGCGCGCCACCTCCTCTCTGGTTTCCGACCCTAAGAGTGCCCTGTTTTGTGCCTCAGGCAGGGAATGTGGTAACAGGAGAGATGGTAGAAGAGCTGATCCTCTCTGGGGCTGACATCATCAAAGTGGGAATTGGCCCAGGTAAGCTGCTTTACTGGGGGCCTCGGGCTACTGTTCCAGTGGCACACGCCCTGGAAGCACTTCACTGTTCTCGTGACGTTCTTCTCAGGCTCTGTGTGCACCACCCGCAAGAAAACCGGAGTGGGGTATCCACAGCTCAGTGCCGTGATGGAGTGTGCAGACGCTGCTCATGGCCTCAAAGGCCACATCATCTCAGTAAGGGCCACAGGCAGGGGAGGGGAGGAGGCTGCCACACCGCTGTGTTTCCTGCTGTGTGGAAACCGTGGTAGCAGTGGATCAGGACTCCTGGGTTCCTGTCAGCTTGGAGGTGGGCTGCGGGGACATCGCTCAGAGTGCTTGGGCAGTCCGTGTTCTCTCTTCACAGTGCTCCTTACTTTGCAGGATGGAGGCTGCAGCTGTCCTGGGGATGTGGCCAAGGCTTTCGGTAAGGATGCTGGGAGAGCAGGGAGGGTCCTGTAGAAGAGGATAGGTCACCTCTGAGGGTCAAGGATCAGGCTTGGAAAGGCTGAGAAAGCCATTCACATTCTTTCACAATATGAACTAGTGACCCTGAAGCTGTGGTGTCACTGGGGGCAAGGAAGCAAGGGAATCCTGAGACTCTGGTATCGACTGCCCAAGTGTAGGCCACGGCTATCTGTAATATCCCCTGTACTGTTGGACTAAAGTTAGAGACCTTTGCCCTTGGGACACTTGGAATGAGTCTTGTTTAGCTGCACACAATGAAAAGAGAAGAGCAGAAAGGAAAAAAAAAAAAAAGCCAGGCAAGGCATCTCCAGAGGCTCTTTGTAAATTCTTGAAGAAATCAGGCCCACTAAGGCATAGAGGCCAGAGCAGAGCAAGCCTGTGTGGGTTGTGGGTCAGCTAGGGAAACAAAAGCAGGAAGATGTTAGACTCATTGTCAGGACTGAGAACTTGGCGAGTTGCTTCTGAGGGTGGGCATGTGGGCCACATTTAATTCATTCCCTGCCTTGTTGACGCTGGCAGGGGCAGGAGCTGACTTTGTGATGCTGGGTGGCATGCTGGCGGGGCACAGTGAGTCAGGCGGTGAGCTCATCGAGAGGGACGGCAGGAAGTACAAGCTCTTCTATGGGATGAGTTCTGAAATGGCCATGAAGAAGTATGCCGGGGGCGTGGCTGAGTATAGGTGGGTGCAACAGAGCCAGGAGCCGAGGGTTTCTGGAAAGCGTGACTAAGTAGGGTGGTGGCAGAGCTGCTGGCTGCTGGGAGAGGCACGTGCGGTTCTGGGAGGAAAAGTGGTGAACTGGGGCTCAATGCCAGACAGCAGGGGAGAGCCATCACTGGGCTTAAGGATTCCAAAAGGAAAGAGTAAGAAGGTTTTTCCTCCTCGAAGGGCCTCAGAGGGAAAGACGGTGGCGGTCCCCTTTAAAGGGGACGTGGAACATACCGTCCGAGACATCCTTGGAGGCCTCCGCTCCACATGCACCTACGTGGGAGCAGCTAAACTGAAGGAATTGAGCCGGAGAACCACCTTCATCCGGGTCACCCAACAGGTGAATCCAATCTTCAATGATGAGAGCTAGACCTGAGCAGCTGTGCCCTCTCAAGGCGTTAGCCCCTGACCACAGGGCCTCTCAAGAGGGCTCCTCACCCATCTCAGCCACTGTGGCTATTTCTTACTCAGTCAATTCCTGTTGCCTCACTCCTGAGGGCTCCCGCAGTAATACTGTACTCTGTACCCACAGAATGCCCAGGGCACTCATTGGGGAGGAAGCAAGGCAGGCAGGCTGAGAAGATGAAGTAAGACAGTCAAGTGTGAATCTGGGGACCCAGCATCCTGAGAATTATTAAAAGGAAAAGATGCTGATTCCTACTTAAGTGTTTAATGGCCTTGGTCTGGAAGAGGGAGGCTCTTGAAATCATGTTTTATTAATGAGCTTCATTAAATAGGATCTCTGAATACCTAAAAAGCCCAAAAGTGTTGCTATATTTTAAATATCTCAATAAAGAGATCCCAAGGACTTTGAAGAGATTCTGGATCTTTCTGCACAAGACTGGCATCTGGGTGCCGCTCCAGGGTAAGTGGAAGTGGAGTTGGCACTGACCCAGTTGAGCCAAGGACAGGAAGTACTCTTTCCACGAAGTATCTCCATTGCAGTGCCACCACCTCCAGGTAACCCGATGCCATTAGAGTTTACAAAGTACATTCTGGCATCAGGACACATATTTTTAGCATAGCAAAGGGAAACTTCCCTTCCAGACTGTCAACCTTTCTTGGCACACATGAACATTTTCCAGGGGAAGTAAAAAGGCAAAGGGATTCCTCCAGTCCTGGTGAAGCCAGTTCTAAGGAATGACCTACATTGACTTGATATAAGCCTTGATTTCCCTTCCTCACACCAAGACAGTGTTTTAACAAATCCAAATTTTAATTAACAAGGATTACAAAGTAATTTTAGCAAGGTAGTCAGGTCACCCAAGGCCAGGCTTCTGCTTTATTCCCACTAAACTGTGTAGAACTGAGGAACTCCTTCCTCAGGCAGAGTGCAGAGGGAATTCCAGTCCTATCCTAAGTGTCCAGACCTGTCTCTACTGTCAGGGAAGGGACAGACATGGCCCTGAGGCCAGAAGTGGGGAGATACTCATAGAAGGTGGGGATCAAGGTGTCAAACTTTGTCTTCTGATAGTTTTCCAGAGACTCCTGCAGAGAAGGGAGCAGGGAGATGCTATCATCATCTCATTCCCTTAGACCTCCATATTCTGGAGCATGTGGATTTCTGTCTCATTCTGCTCAGCCCCTTCCCCAGCTTTCTGTTCCTTCCTACTCACCCTTCCTTCCTTCTGGCCATTTTCTTCTTCATCAGAGTCCAAAACCAAGTCCCCTATGGTAATGACAGAGCTGCACAGAGATGGAGGACACACTGCAGAACGAAACAGAATCACAGTACCCATCTAGGTGACAGGCTCTCAAGACTCCGCGAGAGAGGAAACTGTCTAGCCCAGTCTGACTCAGGATACTTACATGGCTTCCTGGTCCTAGGAGGGGATAATGACAGTCTCAGGGGGTCCATGGGGCAAACCAAGCAATTCCTGCATTGGGAGCAAACAAAAAAGATAAGGTGAGGGGAAAGCAGGCCAAAAAATGTCCTGCTAGGAGGGAGAAGCAACTGTTCCACTCACTCTTCTTGCTCTGAAGCAAACACCTCAACTGGGTTCTCTTTCAAAGCCCTTCCCCCCAGCGGCTGGGGTGGACTCTTTGGCTTTCCAGTGGAAGCTGCTCTCATGCCCACAGCATCTGCTGGATCTGCCATGTTTGTCCCATGTTCTTCCCTGTTCTCAGGCTCAGATATGACTTGGGGTGGTGAACCCAGATTCCTAAAGGGGAACAGCATGACTGTGGGGCGCTCCTTATGGCCTCCCTTAGTGGATGCCCATCGGGACTGGATTCTTCGCCGGCCTAGAGGCGCCAGATTGAAGTGGTGGCCAGCCTTAGGTTCTGGGTCCTTCCTGGAGGCTGGTCCTTGAGGGAGGTATGGGCCAGAACTGGCTTCTGGCAAAGGATCGTGAAGTGCTAGTTTTGGTTGCCGAGGATTCTGCTCCGTGGGATCTGTCATGCTCACCGAATCGTTAATGGAGCACTCTGAAAAAGAAAACGAAGCTCCTCAGGACAGACAGAAACACAACTCGGTCTAGTTTCTTACAGCTCAGGTCCATGTAACCCTTCTGACAGCCCATCTCAAAAGGTCTCAGGCCGAACAATCCACCCCCAAGTTCCTAGTTCTCCCAGAGGGTCCTCATACCTGGAAGTGGCCACCCCATGTCCACAGCATACTGGCTCAAGACAGAAGAAGTAGCGATAGAAACTCCAGGCTGCATCCAACTGACCACATCCTGAAGCTGTGGGCAGAGGGAGAGAGGCCTGAAGACCACAGTCCTTGATACAGCCATCCCCCACTCTGCCCTTACCTTATCCCAACAAAACCTGCTGTGTCTGCAATGCAGGAAGGGCTTTCTCTAGCTGACACAAATATTCAAAGAACAGCTTTTCCATGGCATCCAGAAAGGGTTCCCCATACTCTTGTTCAAGTTCCTGCAGTGAGGAGAAAAGCAGGTCAGAAGAGGACTAGAGTAATTTTAGCCCCATAATAGCTTCCAAACCAGCCAGTCTCACCTGCACCCTGGAAGCCAAGTCCACTGGGGCCTCTGCTAGATGCTTCACCTCTTGGCAAAAGGTCTCCTGCGCCTCCAAGACCTTCCTCAGATCCTGCTTTGTCTGTTGAGGGTAAGGAAAAGGAGACAATTTAGGGTCACTAGGACCCAGTGGCCGGAAGGAGAATCAACTTTGTGGCACCCAGTGTTAACTGGGGTTTAGGGCTTGTTCCAGAGATTACTCACCGCTTTGGGGTCCCGCACTACAGGTCCAGACTCTGGGAAATGGTGATGCAGGGCATTCAGAACCTGGGCCCACGGCCGGCCCTGCAGGATCAACTCCACCACTACCTGTGAAGGGTACTAAACTCATAATCTCCACTTCGGGGCAAGCGCCCTTTTCCAACGAGTCCCAATCCCAAGCGGTCAGACCTCCGCAAGTCCCCTCGTATCCCTCCCCTTTCCCATCCTCCAACTCCTATCTCTGATACCTTGGCCTTCAGACCCATACACAGGCGTTCGTGGTGGCGGTAGCGAACTAAACCAGGGGCAGCAATGCGCAGTGATCGCAGAAACTCTAATACACGCGGGAAATGCTCCACGCAGCGTCCCCGCACGACTTGCCAGCTAGCGGCGGCGGCGAAGCGCAGAGCCGCGGGACCGGCCTCTGGGGGCGTGGCCATGGCCGCGGGCTCTGCCCCGGGGGCAGGCCCTCTGGGTTCCTTCCTCCACGGCGAGGCTTCTCAGCTCCGCCTAGGGGCGAAGCTTCCGGCGGCTCTCAGCGGCTGCGCTGTTTCGGTCTGCGCTGGGTACTTCGCGATGCGATTCCTTGCATAGGCCACCGGAGTCCTGGAGGTGTTCAACGCAAGCTGAAGCCTGAATGCAGAAGCTGGCCAGCTCCAATGGCACCAGGTTCTCTGTTTTCCACGCCGCCGCCCCCTCAGGCCCGAGGGCTACCTCGCTTCCGGCTCTGCGGGTAGTCTCCCTGCCCCGGAAAAGGGCGGTAATGGAGAACCAATGGGCTACCGGGCAGGGAGACGTGACGTCGCGTCATAAGGCCACGCCCCCAACAGATTGGGCACCTCCCGCGTCCGCGCTCCCTCCGTCAGTAGCCTCCGTCAGGGCGGCGGGGAGTCTGTTGCAGGGCTTCGTGACCCTTGCCTTTCTTCGCGGAGCCTACAAAGTCATGTCTTTCTCTGAGGCTGGACTTACGTGTCTGGAAAACGAAGATCATGCCCTTCCCCCTCCCCATCATGGGCGCCGCTGATGTACGATTCCTTAAATCCTAGCCTCGAAGCAGCGCCTGCAAAGCCTTGCCCGGCGGCACGCCCTCTTCCGTAAGAATTCAACTGTCCATTTTGCAAAACAGTAGAGGGCGCCCACCTTTAAAAAAAAAAAAAAATACGAAGTTTGAAAAGCTACATCACGTAGTTAACTTGGTTTTCTCAGGATGATGAGACTAGGTAGTTTTTTGTATTTTTCTGTGATATCTTTTTTTTTTTTTTGTATCATGTAGTTTTAAAACAAATAAAAAATAAGTTTTCCTTTCGGATTTCTGTTGTGTGCTTACTCCAGCCAGCCTCCTGATGTGATCGACTTGTCTCCTTGTCACCCTTCCTAGTGTCTCCCCTTATTTTAATCACCAAGTACAGAGCCTGGCACACAGTGTATAGTCTTTAAATGTCGGTTGAATTAATTACCCTCTCTGATTACCTTTTAGGAATGTAGTGGAACTACCGTTCTTTCGGACCATCTCATTTCCTAGAGGTAGCGCCCCCTGCATACTTCCTTGACTCACCCAAGATGAAACTTCTCAGGTGATCCACAGGGACCGCTGGACTGAGAACCGGAAGTTATCTTCCCTTTTAAATTCTGCGTTTCCTCCTGGGCTCTGTAGTTTTGTGCACAGCGCCTCTCCTCACCTGTGAGTGAGAGACCCAGACCACAGTCCTTAACTCAGTCCTCCTTCCTCTCCACATCTAATTATCAAGTCTAATCAGTTCTACTTCCTCTGGAACTTTACACCCCACCCCATTTTCATTCTCACTCCTCTATCCCATTTCAGGTGTTCCTGTCTCTCACCCTCCCCACACCCAGCCCACCTCCTTTCTAATTTCTTTACCACATTGCTTTATCATGAATCTTGTGAAATGCAAAGTTGATCATGCCATTGCTAACTGAAAGCTCTCTCTTACTTTCAAAAGAAAGCCCAAACTCTGAAATAGTCTGAAATAGCCCAAACTCTGGCCAAGCTTCTCTTCAGCCATATTCCTTGCCACTTTGCATGTATGCACCTAGATACCAGCAAACAGGTTTCATCTTCCAAATATACTGTGCTGTCTTACAGTTCTGTGCCTTGCACATACTGGATGATTCCTCTGTCCTCCTTGCCTCTTGGACTTGATCCTTTCTCATCTTTTGTGGTTCATTTGATAACCACCTCCATAAAGCCCATCAGAGTTTTCTTGGGGTCCTCAGTACATCTTTCTATCACCACCACTGTTGCAGAAGCTATCTTGTAAGGTGATTGTAAGGACTAAATGAATTAGTAGTTATAAAGCACTTGGAATAGTGCTTGGCTCATAGTAAGTACTACGTATGTTTGTATTGTTAATGTTTACAAGTCCGTCACCCCCATTCAGGGGGGAGCCTGGAAAGAGCTGGTTCCTTTCTTGTTCATTCAGCAAGCAACTTGTTCATATATTTACAGCTAATACAACCAGCCCCTTTTTAAGTCTTCTTTTTACTGCCTTAGGAGCCCATTGTCTTAGAAGCTGTCTTAAATCCAAGGTTCAGGAAGACAAGTGGTCAGAGCTCCAAACCTTGGCCATGTAGTCTCATGGCCACTGCTGGCACAAGAAGAGTCTTGGCACAGAGAACACGGGGAAAATACAGCCAAGAAGAAAAATAGAAGGTGGTTGTCCTCAATCCTTTCTGTGCATAGGAGTCCGCCCCTTAGTGAGCTTGTTAAAACACACACTTCTTGGCCTCTGCTCTGGGGATTTTGGTTAGTGAGGTCTACACTGGAGCCCAGAAATCTGTATTCTTTTTTTCTTTTTTAAGATTTTATTTATTTATTTGACAGAGATCACAAGTAGGCAGAGAGCCAGGCAGAGAGAGAGGGGGAATCAGGCTCCCCGCTGAACAGGGAGCCCGATGCAGGGCTTGATCCCAGGACCCCAAGATCATGACCTGAGCCTTAACCTACTGAGCCACCCAGGCACCCCAGAAATCTGTATTCTTATCATCTCAGTTGATTCTAATGTAAGTGTCTAGAGACTAGACTTGAAGAATCCTGGGGTAAGGGAACAGTTTCAGTCAAACCAAAACCAAATCCTCCAAGTCACCCAAAGGAAAATTTCCATGTAGAAGTGAACTATACAAAGGGTATTGACTCTCTGTCTCTGACCATTGCCTTCCCCTGCAGTTTCCTCTCTCTGGTGAAGGACCCCTGTCCCTGTGGATGGCACCCAATGGGAGTTCTCCACAAACCTGAGACCTGGGGGTTCTCCTATTACTGCTCCTCTCCTCCCTCCACCCAGACACACCCATACCTCCCCAAGTACTGTGCACTTTATCCCCCAGATGTTCCTCCAAGCTTTCTACTTCTGTCTCCAACACCACCCTTCTGGCCCAAACTACTTACCATCTCTAGCATAAACGACTACAACTGCCTTCCAATCAGTGTCTGCAACCACTCCGACCCTGCTCCAATCTATTCTTGACACCGCAGGTGGAGTCATCTGTTCAAAACACAACCTGGTCACATCAATTCCAATTCCTTAATGCTTTCAAAGGCTTCCCACTGCCCTAGGGCAGACAAAGATCCCTAATCTGGCCTATGAGGCTCCATAAGGCATGGGTGGCCCTGTGCTCCTCAACTCCACATCCTCCACTCTGCCCTTTGCCCTCGCTGCCTTAGCTACACCATCTTTCTTTGTCTTGTTTACTCTTCCAGACTCCCTTCCACCACAGGATCTTTTCATAGGCTATTCCTTTGATCCACAGTGATCTCCCTTCCCTCTCTGCCTAGATATTCTGCAGGGTCACCATAAAAGCTTGCCTAAGCACCACCACCATGTCAGATCAGTGCCTTTACTGTTAACTTCAAAGTTATTTACTCTACTCGATTTCATGCAGTTACTCTGTTTCTTTCTCAGGCTGCAAGCTCCATAAGGCAAGAGCTAGGATTGTCCTATGCTCTGGCACTTAGTCCATTGCTAGGGACACATCATTGAAGATTTCTTAAATGGGTAAAAGAATTGGTCCATTAGCCACCACCATGGCTGGACTCTGCCAGTCAGAATCTTCTGTAAAATTCTGGTTCACCTGTGGACAAAAATTCTTTTTCCAGGGAGAACCTTAGAATGGCCAAAGGTAGCCATTATTTTAAAAAATTAACTTTATTTGGGGCGCCTGGGTGGCTCAGTGGTTTAAGCCTCTGCCTTCAGCTCAGGTCATGATCTCAGGATCCTGGGATTGAGCCCCACACCGGGGTCTCTGCTCAGCGGGGAGCCTGCTTCCCCCCCTCCCTCTGCCTGCCTCTCTGCCTACTTGCGATCTCTGTCAAATAAATAAATAAAATCTTTTAAAAAAATAACTAATAAAAATTAACTTTATTTAAAATAAAGTACAATCACTGTGGTCTTTTCCATAAATCTGGGAAGCATTTATAAGTCACATCTTGTAAACTTTCATTTTTATATTTGTAATTAACTCCATCTGGCTTATTAATAGGAAAATAAAATCTTCCTTTTGATGTCTTTACTTCTTGCAGAATTTTCAAGTATTCCATCCTAAAGGGCCAGCCTTCCAGCTTCCATGATTATTTGGGGAGACTTATGCTCTCCACAGGGTCTGTCATACTTCTTCCACCCATTCAATGTCCCCTTAGAAAATCAGCCACAGAGGGGCACGTGGGTGGCTCAGTTGGTTAAGCACCTGCCTTCAGCTCAGGTCATGATCTCAGCATCCTGGGCTGGGATCAAGCCCTGAGTCAGGCTCTCTACTTCTCCCTCTGCCTGCTCTGCCTGCCACTTCCCCTGCTTGTGCTCGCTCTCGCTCTCTCTCTCTTTCTCTTTGACAATAAATATATAAAATCTTTTAAAAAAGAAAATCAGCCACAGAGGTTGGTACCTGCGCTCTCAGGCTTTGACACCCAGTCCAGACTGCTCCCTGGGCCAAGGGGCTGCAGGAGATTCTAGTATTGGCCACAAGCTTTGCCAAATCAAACCCACTCAGCTAGGGTTCAGGGACCCTCAAGGCTCGGACAGTTCTCAGAGCCTAGGATGGGCCCCTTCTCTGCTATTAGGCCTCAGCTGAAGCTACCACAGTCCAGACTAATGTTCCCAATTTTAAATCTTGGGGCAGAAGTGATTAAAGAGAATACTAGTTCTTTATACTCAGGGAACCTTGGGCTATTGGGGCAAAAAGTCCACCTCCTCCCTAGTGGTCATCTTTGTATACCAGGTGTCCCAGGAGAAACAAAACAGGTCACCAAGATACTCAGACAATGACTGCTTCATCAGTCCAGGGGGACCAACTAGGAGAGCAACCCTAGTGGATTTCCTAAAACCGAGACTAAGGATACCTTCTTTTTATTAAAAATAAGGTGGGGGGCGCCTGGGTGGCTCATTGGGTTAAAGCCTCTGCCTTAGGCTCAGGTTATGATCCCAGGGTCCTGGGATCGAGCCCCGCATCAGTCTCTCTGCTCAGCGGGGAGCCTGCTTCCTCTCTCTCTCTCTCTGCCTGCCTCTCTGCCTACTTGTGATCTATGCCTGTCAAATAAATAAATAAAATCTTTAAAAAAAAATAAGGTGGGGATTGCCTGGGTGGCTCAGTTGGTTGAGTGTTTGACTTTTTATTTTATTTTATTTATTTGAGAGCGAGAGAGAGAGAGCATGAGCAGGGGGAAGGGCAGAGGTGAGGCAGAAGCAGGCTCCCTGCTGAGCAGGGAACCCAACAGAGGGCTCCAACCCAGGACCCTGGGATCATGACCTGGACCAAAGGCAGATGGTGTATCAGACTGTTTGGAGAACAGAATTGCCTCCCCATTTTTTG